TAACGAATATTATGTTCGCTAATTAAACTCTTAAACATTGTTGCTAAATGGCACCTACAACACTTACTGAAATTTCATTTAAATTGTTTGATATATTGTATGTATCAAGAAAGATAAAATAAGCGACTTTCAACTCATCAAATACTATTTTCAATTAATTTCAAATAAACTAGTATGTAATTTTCAATAATTGCTGCACACAATATTGCATAATAAACTTATAGTACCTAATCGATTTACATAAAGTATTTTTTTTATATTTTCATTATAATAATTTTGCATACAAACATTTCCATACAAACTTTAAAAAGCTTTATAAATATTTACATGGTAATATGTGGATTAATTTTTCAATAGATTGTGCAAATTCAATTTGATATATTTTTTTTACTATTAATTCACTTATTTGTTTTCATCATAATCAAACATTTTTTACCACAGAGCGTTAATTTATGCAACAGTATTGAAAATTTAACCCATTAGGGTGATAAGTAATAAAACGATAAAACGAAACTTGATGACTTAAATTAATAACATATAAAAACTAAAATATGTATTTCATCTGTATCTTCGAAGTACAAAACTACAGTTTCTTAACTACTAATAATTAAGAAACAAGGTACATTTTCTTATTTGATGATTCCAATAGAACAAAGTAATTATTTTTGTTTCCTGTCTTTATCTAATAACATAAAGTGGTCATTTCCCTTATCATTTTAATAAAATGTGTGAGCCTTATTTTGATATCAATGGTGTATTTTACATATTTTGAAATAAACATATTTTACACATTTTTGGTAACATTTTAGGTGGTAGCTATAAAATTTAATTTATTATTCAGTAGCGACTTCGTAAATAGATATTTATGTATAAGAATAGGAAAGTTATGCATGTTTCAAATAGTAATAATACTCTTCCTAATTCACGAGTGAATTTTAACCCCAAAAGCTGAGCTTTTACCGGGGAAGAAACGGCATTACTATTATTTGCTGTGGCCCTCCGGGGCAACTTAGGGATGATTGATAGTGCCACTTGATTTACAGCTGAGGAAAACCTAGAAAACTCCGCCCACCATCATGTGGTATATTCGTAAAAAAAAGTCTTAACCACAAAATAAACATTGATATTTATGTACTTCCTAAATGCATTTTTGATAAAATGGTATTTGACATCAATTTTTTTGTTTACTTTTAAGCAGTTTCATCAATTGCATTTTGGTTATAAATTTTCAGTTTTATAAGACGTTCTAGTAAGTTACATTATCTAGTTTAATTGGATATTATATCTATTTCTTTGATAGTCTCGTAGGATGCAACATACTCAGCTTCTGCAGTTGGTAATGCTGTGACTAATTGTCTTCGTGAAAACCAATCAATAGCAGTTTTACCAAAGGTTACGAAGAATCCAGAGGTAAACTTTCTAGTTTTGGTATCCCCAACAAAATCTGAATCACTGTAGACTGCGAAGATAACTTCCTCAAAGTTCGTACCGAATTTTAAGAAAAAATTTCTTAAACCCTGTGTGTAGCGTAAAATTAGTTTGAATCACTTCCAGTAAATATTTTCAGAATTTTTCATAAACCTGCTCAATTATTTGGTAGCAAAAGATATATCTGTCTTGGTGACTGATGTTAACAAGAGTAAATTTCCTATGGCCTTCATGTATGTATGGTACTTTAACACTTTCGCTTGGTTTATTTATATTTTGTGTAGGTCCTGGTCTAGATACGGGATAGCAATTTTCCATGAAAAATATTTCTAAAAGCTTTTGAATGCAATTATGTTGACTAATTAAAATAGATCCATTTAATTCTCTTTAATCTCCATACCCAATAATCTTTCTAGCGGTTCTTATCCAAGTTTATTCTTCTTTTCTACGTAGTTTAATAACTTTTCAATTTCTGTAACATTTCTTGAAGCAATAAGAGAATCATCATCTACACAGATTACTAAAACTAGTTTATTTGGGCTATATTTTACAAATACGCATAGATCTGATAGTGTCTAATCTAGGTTAAAATCATTTAAAATATTCACAAATTTTGAATTCCAACAGCACCAGCATGGAGCCTGTTTTAGTCTGTATAGACTACATGTAAATAGGCATACCTTTTCATAGTTGTCTTCACAACCAACTGGTTGTTGCATATACATTTTCTGTTTTAAGGCTTTATTTAAAAATATTTTGTAAACAAATGTTAGTCTGTTCAACATATGTGCTATTTATAGATATTAGTTAACGATATGTGTTATCAGTTTCCACAAAACAATAAAATTTGACCCTTAATTTTTATTAAACAAATGTGTGTAAAGTAACCCGATTAAGTTGATACATTACACACGAAACAACAGTCAGAAACATATTTAAAATAGGGAGTATGTAAAGTAAAACCACTTACTGATATACTTTATATATTCTAGAATTGTTTAAAGTAATTTTCCTAATTAAATTCAAAGAAATACTTACCATTTCATGAAAATTAAATTTATTTCATATTAAAAATCAAATGAAATTTGTACATTGCCAAAAATCTGTCTGCTTAGAAGTCTTGCTGCAGCTCCAACGCCTTGAATAGCATTCTTTAGTGTGTTATGGCCTATTACCAAAATGTCTTTTATATTTCCAACCTACATAACTAAAAAAATCTGATGTGTCCGACACATGACTTTCCTTTCTAGTTATTACAGGCTTTTTCGAATATTTTGTACAACTTATTGTAGCACCTCTGTAAATATTTAAAGGTAACTTAATACACACATTTTTCACATACATCTAACTCGGACAATTTTTCTATATACACTCATTGCCAAATGCTGAAAAATTTAAATTTTATACTTTTCCTCCTATTTTTCCATTACGGTCTATTTTAGAGAAATCATGTGAAATACAAAAATTATAGAGATCGATATGGCAAACATCTTTTAGTTTAAAAATTTTCTTAAGAATCAGAATTTTTTACATTTTGAAAAATTTCTCGAATACGGACCATATAAGAAAAATTTTGTAAAAAACAAAAATTATAGATAAAAATATAAAAAGTAACTTTTGTTCAAAGAATTTTCTTCTCCAAACGTAAACAACAGATATATATTATAAAATTTAAAAATGACCCCCAATAAAGTACTTACCTGATGCTCCGGTGTTTTTCATTTGATCCGTTCATGAGTAATCGTAGATACAGACACACACAAGTAAAGGGGCAGCACTGATTCGAGCACAAACTTATGTAAATTAACATGAGAAATCGCTAAGGTCCATTCTGGCAATTTTTGTGTCTTTTAAGGTCACACACTAGTTCTCGCTTGTCAGCAATCAACAGTCATGTCATCTATCGACAGTATTACCAATAATCTTTCATCTGTCAATCCAATGTTGCCAACATCTGTCCACGAAACCTGACTGTAGATGTTACAAGAGTCACCAACTGTCATCTGTAGATATGGGGCCCGTCTGGGACACTTTTAAACGGCGCATGCGTGGCCATAGCTGTGAAGTTAGGTAACCTAACGACAGATGTCAAAAATTGATCTAATCTTACATGTGTCAACTATCAAAAAGTCATTTAACTTAACGAAAAGAATTACTAGCTACGAAGTTGGCTAACCTAACATATCAAAAATCGGTCTAAAGCAGACATTTTCTATCCGCGCCACTTTTTATCCTACAATATGTAGTAAAACCGATCTAACCAAACATGACAACAGTATTTCCAACCTAACCTAAACGGTTTCAGGGATCCCAAAATGTTAAAATCGATCGAAAAAAATTATGACTCCTGTACTTTCCTTATCTGTTTACAGTTCCACTTCGAGTTTCAATATGAAATTGCGTCAACGTAGGGACGCTTCCTTTATAGTTTATTTCCCGCCTATCTGTTAAAGAAGGTACAACTTTATCCATGCAATATTTTATCGTAATTTTTTAGAAAAAATGGTACATCATTATGTAAAGTTACCTCGCCAGTGTAAAGTAACTTTGCTCTACGGTACCTTTAACTGAAAGTACTGGCTTTTAGAAGGGATTTCTCATTTTATTAATATACATCATGAAAACTAATTAAAAAGTATAATATTTAACTCGCAAGAAATGCTCATTTTCTACTCGCATAATTTGCAGATAGGAAATGAGCACCACTTCTTGCTCAATAATTAATATTCTATTTTTCAGTCTTTTCAGAAAATTTGAAAGATCAACCATAACGTTTTTTCAGTATCAGAACTTCATTGCAACTGTGACATATGACATAATCGTGAGGACAATGGTCCGGCAAAACAGATATTGCAGGTTCGAATCCTGCCGGGGTGCACGGATCTTTTAAATTTTACTTTGGTTTGTTTTCAGTAATAGTTGTTTAGGAATTTATTCTATATACCATATTGTCTTTAGTATGCATTTACGGTGTTTATTCGTTTACTTTCCTTTATGGTTGTTCAATTTTCTACCCTGTTATTTATGTTCACTCATTCCTTTACAAAATCATGAGCAATTGTCAATCCTTGGCGTTCTTCTCCCTTTGGACTATCAGAGTCTTTAATTATTTGCCAAAGTCGCTAAAACATGTTACTAAGGGAATATTTTGTTTTAGTTGTATTCTTTAATTTTTTGTCACGGGTGTATCGATGTTCCGTTAGGACTACAAGACCCTAACGCCTTAATTGTAAATTGATGGTAATGATCTAAATTAGTTAAAGACTAGTTAGAAACTTGGCACTTGTTGCACTAGCCGAGAAAGTTATGCAGTATATCACTTTTAACAACTGAAGAAAAATTAAAAAACCTCTCTATCTTGGTTGTATTTTTATTTTGTGTCTCTTATTAATTTCTCTATTAAAGAACTTTAACCGATTTCATGGTCGAAAAGATTAGGGACCACAGGTCCAAGTTCTGCCGAGGTGCGCCGATTTTTTTGAATTTCCTACCTATTTTTATATGTATTCTGATATTTAACCGACATAAATCACTTTCCTTTTTCAATATATTTTTATTATTTGTTTTTTCAGATTATTCTAGTCTGTGCCTTCATTGCCATCGCAGCTGCTGCTCCCCAGTACGTTAACAGTCACGAAGAGACTCACCATGCACATCAACTTAACTACGGCGGCCACCATGGAAACGGCGAATCACCAAAACAAGCTAGAATTCTTCGTTACGAAACTGAGCAAGGAGTAGGACCTGAAGGATACAAATATGCGTAAGTAATATTCATAAAAAATACTTTTTAAGTTAGCTATAAAATTATAGTTTTCAATATTTTGTCTATTTCGAATTAATTCATGATACCTTTTCCGTTTTAGTGTAGAAACTAGTGACGGTGTTGTAAAAGAAGAACAAGGTGTCTTCGAAAATGCCGGAACCAAAGAAGAATCCCTTAAAGTTGTAGGTCGTTACCTCTATCCCGGTGGTCCCAACGGAGAACTCTTGACCATTGAATATGTAGCCGATAAAAATGGATTCCAACCTATAGGTGAACACATTCCCAAACCTGTAGAACCAGTAGTACAAGGAGTACATGGATCAAATGGAGCACATGGAGTATATGGAGCACAAACACATTATTAAATAAATAACCAAAATTAGTTGATATTCAACTTGTTCTTAATTTAAAATAAATATATTTTAAACAATAACTAGTCTTTTTTATTTATTTTTATTGTCTTTGTACGAAGAAATAATAGACCTATAATCTGTTTTAAAACTAGGAGAAGTGAATTGAAAATACTCATTTAGACAGGAAAAAGTTACTGTATTAGTTACTAAGAGTGTGTTCCGAAATAGTCACGTTCAAAATCTAAAAAATAGTTATTATTGATGGCGAACGGCCAATAAGGGGTTAATAAACGAATAAATGTCTCTTGGTCCCCATACAATGATAGTAAATTTCACATTACTGTGATATGAAACGTGTGTCTAAAACGAACTGTCAAATGAAATTCAATATATCCATTGTTTTTTATTTTGAAGTTTCAGCTTATCAGAAATATTTTTTCTTGCTTTTGAAATCGAACTTTTGAGAATAACTATGATCTTTTGGAAATGGAGTTTGAATATGTAAGAAAACTGTTGATAGAATATCCAGATTCAGTTTCATTGTGTAATCCTCTTAATATATTGTCCATCACTCTTTGAAAAGTTGAGGATGAGTTACGAAGTCCAAAGGGTATTCTTTTAAATTCGTAGTGTCCGTTTTGTATCGAAAAAGCTGTTTTAGATATGTCGTCTTCGTGCATTTGGATTTGGTGGAATCCGCTTGCTAGGTCAAGTGTCGCGAAATATTGGCTTTTGCCTAGTTTGTCTAAAATTTCTGTTATGTTTGGTAAGGGGTATTTGTCGGGTATAGTTTTCTCGTTAAGTTTTCTATAGTCAATAACTAAGCGGAAATTTCTGTTTCCTGATTTATTAGGACGTTTAGGAACAATCCAAATGTGGGAAGAAAATTGAGAATTTAAGGGTTGAATGATACCTTGGTCTAACATTTTTTTAATTTGAGTTTTAACTTCTTCTTTGTAAACTTCAGGATATCTGTACGTTTTAGTAAATATGGGTAATTCATCGGTTAATTTTATTCTATGTTTAATTTGATTAGTAAATGACAGGGGAATATCTTCACAATAAAATATATCGCAATATTCAAAGCATACATTTTCAATTGCGTATTTTTCCTCTAAATTACAATGATTTAAGTCAATATTTTTTAAATTATATTTTAAGAGATTATCATGACATTCTTCAATGTCCTGATCAGTTTCCATTTTTTCTAAGAAATTAATCTCGTTAATGGTTATATTTTCTATCTCTAAAGGTTCTAAAAATTCTAATTTTGCAGGTTTAGTGTTTGAATTTATTATGGTAGTTAGGGCAAAATAATTTTTTATGTTAACTAGAGCAACAGGGGATTCAACAAGAGAAGAATATTTTTTATAATCTAGTAATCCGACACCTTCTTTCATGTTTACAGGTATTTTGACTATTTGTTGAGTTCTAGGGGGTATAACTAAATGATAATTTTTAAATTGAATAGGTATTTTGATTGGAACTTGTATCGTCTTCACTTTCATACACAATAGGAATTTTTACGTACGGGGTAGTCATAGTTTTTGAACTTACGTTTACAGAGGCTTTTAATTGTTTTAATAAATCAATTCCAATTAAACAATCGTATTTATCACTAAATTCGATTAGATAAAATTTATGATGTTCTGGAACATTAAAAATTTGAAAAACAGGTATATTAACTACCTCGTCATGATATGATATATTATGAGCACTTTGAATATATATATTTTTTTTTTTTTAAATATTGTTGTAGTAAAACCTATAAGCTAAATCCGGTTTAATTAAACTACGAGTACTTCTGGTATCGATCAAAAAATTGGCATTAAGTTCGAGGATAAAGATATACGGTAAATTGTTCCTAGATAAATTTAAATTTATTAAGTAAGATTCTTTGGTGAAGTCTCCTGACGAAAATTTACATCACCGAAGTTATTTTGATTTGCTGAATTTTGAGGGGTATCATTAGATGGTGAATTATTGTGTTCGTTTTCGAAAAAAGCGGTATCTTGTTGATTATAGTTATAATTATTAAAATTGTCGTAATTTTCGTAATCATTATTTTCGAAAGAGTTGTCAAATTGTTGATTTACATCATGAGCAAATAGTTCGGTACGAGCAAAATTTTTTTGATTTGTTATTCTTGTATTTCCCGAAGAGGTATCCATGGGTTCATGTTTAGGAAATTTATAATTTGGGTTACGATTTTGAAAATTTCTAAATTGGCTTGAATGAGGGCCATTTCTAGTGATATGGCTTTGTTGATTAAAATTACGAAATCTTTGTTGGGGGAAATTATTATTATTATTATTATTGTTAGGTCTCCATTGTATTTGGGAAGTTTGAGGAGCAGGGCGGTTAAAATTAGAATTGTTGAAATTATAACCAGAGTTTTGTTGAAATTGAATTGGTTGCATCGACGATTGTTGCGGGGGTATATGTTGATTATTTGGTTGTCTATTTTGAAAATTAGGAGGACCTTTGTGGATTTTGTCAAATTATTTTGATTAATTAGAGAATTATTTCTATTTTGACTGTATAGAAAATTTTCTTCTTCAATGACTAAGGACATTGCTCTTTCTAAACAATCAGGATTACGTAGACGCACATTATTTTGTAATTAGCCTGTTAAGCCCCTAATATAAGTCTTAAGAGCTAACTCATTATAATTATTAATTTTTACTCTTTTTTCCTTAATTGTCTCATTACTTGAATTTAATTTACCTATTACTAAACTACGCGCTTCTTGACAGCGCATGCCAAAACTGTGTGGCGTTTCATTTCTGTGTGGACTTAAAACTATTAGATCTTGGACAAGACAATCTATATTCCTTTGATCACCAAAACTTAATCTAAGGGTTTCTTTAATCTCATCTCATGTTCTCAATTCAGTTCTTGAACCTATAAGCATTAAAGCTCTACCTACTAATCTACCCATTATAGCTTTTAGGAGAAAACTATTTAACTGCGTGTTTGTTGCACTATAAAATTGAGCAATAAAACTTTCACAATTATCAATAAAAATATTTAACGTATGCGGATTTCCGTCATAGTGAGGGATAGTATCAATATAAAGTTTAAGCATTTGTTGATTAGTTTCCGCCATCGTTACAGTATTGGTTTGTTCTTGAGTATTAAGAGCTGATTCAAATAATCTAGTTAATTCTTCTAAAGTATTATCATCAACCATTAACAACAAATTTATCTAAATTTAAAATTGTATTCTAACCAAAATAAATTTTATTTTCTTGATTGATTTGAAAATTACAGCTACGATATTTAAGATAAAGGAAAATTATAAAAGGAATTTTTCGACTTACAGTCCTATGAAGAAAACTTGCAATTTTCCCCAATAGGATATGTGGCAGATGTGGTCCCTCTTCCCTGGATGGTTTTGCAAATTTTTTCTCCAATAGGATATGGACGATTTGGTTCCGTTTCCCTGAACAGCTTCTTAAATCTGCACAAAGTATCTTCGTTATTGCAAATAAACCGGTAATACGGACCGGTTTCGCGATTTATGTCGAACCGTTTTACAATCCTACTGACTGCGCCAAATAAATGTGATTAAGTCCAAAATAACTTTTTAAAAACAAATTCAAAGAATATAAATTTTATTACTAGTTTCTACAATGAATGCTAAATTAATAAAGAAATGTTTCACATAAAAAAAAAGAAAGGTGGAATGAACGTGAGAATGCAAGCTTGCATTCTTCTGGCATCGAGTTACACAGAGTTCGCTGTACTGCGACCATAACTTGTGTATGCATATTTTTGGCGAACAACGTGATTCGTAATCAAATATTTTACAAAACATTCAATGCGTAATGCTTGAAATAATGGGACAAGTTCAATATATTGCTAAGATATGGTAATTTTATACTATGACCTAATTAGCTTGATAAAAATTTACAACTAAATGTATATGTACAAATTCGAGTAGCCTAATATTTCTCAAAATATATCACGCGGTTTCGGGTTGTTTGAATGTCCAATAACACAGTCCTAAATCCCGATTAATTAAGCATAGGTAACCTTGTATAGCAGGTTAGGGGATGAAACTAGGTATATCTCCGGTATGAGACCAATCGATGATTCTCCGTGGTTAGTGTTTGGATCGATCGCAATGGGATGAGACTAGGGACGTATGACACCAGTCAATGATTCCCCATAGATGGTCTGGATGAAGATGTCTTCGAAGGCGACGTTTACAGAGGAATATAACGTTGGAAGTTACCTATGTCCAATAATTTTGGGTGTATACATATATAAAAAAAGAAGAAGGCCTAAAAGAAAGAGAAACGTAAGTATCTTCATGTATTATTTGATGGGGTGTGGCCTCTAAGACTATTGAATTTGTTCAGGGTCTTCTGACCAATAGTTTCTGGAAGTTTTTCAACACGTGAGACTAAATCCAACCCTTGGTTTTCGAATTTCTATTTAATAGAACAATTTGAAATCTCTCAAACAGTAACACTTTTGGAAAAAATCCACAAAAAAATGTTGGGACACTTGTTCTTGACGAAAGCTTTCATAAGAAGAACAAAATGGCCTATTCCCTTTTGATAAGACCCTCCAAATTAGTTTGTTAGTTTATAAGTTCCAATACTTGAAAAGAGACTAACTTATGTCTAATCTAGTTGGTAAACAAAGACAAAACATTTTAATTAAGAGTCTAGTTCAAGTACATTTCTTAGATCTGGTAGATGAATGAATGATTTTACTTAATTCATATTACTAATCATTACTAATTGCCATTCATTAAAATCGACTTTTGTGACTTATGACATGTAGATATTATGAAAATGTAAACAAAACTAATTCAATAATTTGGTTACATTTCGAAATGATTTTAAGTTGTTTTGAAATGTAACAAATAGTAAAAATTGTTTATTATTAAGATACTTATGTCCTCTTTCCTTCTAGATAAATGGATTTCCAATTTGAAATCTACATGAATTCTCTAGTTTGAAATAGTAAAGACATTTTAATG